ACGCTGTCCGCATAAAGAATTTGAGGAAACGACTAGCGGGGGCAGTCAAGGGCTATCTCAAGGAAAAGTCAGTTTGAAAGGGGCTATCTTATAGAGAAGCACCAGGTTCGGAAGGAATTTTACGCACTCGAATGAATTGGTAAGCAAGTGACCAAGTACTTGCGGAAATCCACTGACCAGAAGAAGATACATCAACCTTACTATTAAACTATCGACGGGAAAACCGACCACGTAAGTTTATGTTTGCCGCGTGCTTTGTGGTAAATTACTCAATCCAGGATCAGATCAAGATACAACATTACTGTGAATACACTGTCCGCATAACCTTATCATTCTTGCTCACCGATGCCAATGATTGGCACAACATCACAATTAAAAGAGTTAAAGAACATCTTGTTTAGTGACACCTCCTATACAAGAAGCGAATCTTCACATTAGATTCAAGAAGATTCAAACCACCCTTATGTAAATTATGTAATAAATTGTATAATAAATGTATAAATAAACAACTCTCACGATTCTTGTACAGCCCTTCCACCTACCTCTTTCCCGGGCGTCTGCTAGGGCGGGCGACAAATTAAGCTATTGAAGCATTGGCAGTTCGAGCCAAGAATCACATCACTATAATTTCGAACACACACATTTTGTCATAAATAAATAAAAAAAGCCCCATCTTTAAAATCAAAACTGCTGAAAACTCTTGTAGCAGCATTAATAATATATTGACAATTGTTTTCTTATTCAATGACCCTTTTTAATAAGATATAACCAAAACTTTCTTGAAGTGATATAAAAATCGACTAATAATAAAGATAATATTCAATCTAATAATAAGAGATTTGTAAAAAAAAAAGAATTTTCAACATAATTCATTATCACACAGCCTTAAGTAAAATACTCTGTCTAGAAAAAAAGATTAGATTAAGATTTCTACTTGTTTAAATATCATTTTCATATTTATACTCTTTCTTATTCGCAATTTTTCTGAAAAACCCACAATTTTGTTAAATTTTTGAGAAAAATTTTACGCATTATAATGCATAAGATTATTTTTTAATCAAATGTAAATATTTAATTATTTGAGGTATCTAAAATATTAAAAAAATGTAATACAAAAAAAGAAATGAAGCATTTTTATTACATTGTTACATTTTTATTACATTCATTTTTTAAAAATTCTTTGAATTTACGAAAACTAAGTCAATATTCGGAAATTCAATAAATTCAAGAAATTATAAAACTATCTGCGTGATATATATAACATTTCGTATTCAACATTTATTTTACCAAATTTTTGCCATTAATGTATTCAAGGAATATGATTAAAGATGAAAAAATATATTTATATCAAGAAATAAAAAAATTAGTTCCACTTTTTAAACATTTATTACTGTTTAATGAACTTTAATAATTAATAATTACTGAATATACTTAAAATAATAGAATAATTAAATAAAATCTGAAATATCATTTACTAATAATACACATAAATTTTGTAGTAAGTATAAATTAAAGTTGTTTAAAATTAATAATTTGTTTAAACATTACAGAAAACAATAATCAAAATAAACACACGCCTAATTATAATATATATATATATATATATATATATATGTCTTAAAATTAATAATATATATTTGAAATTTAATAGAAAAGTTTTCTAAAAAGAAAATTTTAATGTAAAAATTAATTTTTATATTTTACAACATGTATTATGAAATCTTTTTCTATAATCATGATTATAAATAGAGCAGTTATTTTCAAGAATATTCATGGAATGAACAATATGTATCTACTTTGTGTATTCTAAAATTATTATTATCTAATATTCTGAAATTATTAAACGGCTGGGGCGTTCGCGTTTTCAATAATGTCCTTATAGCCGGTGTTTTATCGTACACCTTTAGTCGTTCGAGGGAGCTTGGCGATCCAATAAATGCCCTTATGCTTGGTATATTTTCAGCCATTCGCGGGAGCTTTGCTGCATATCACGGCTGGTGCACTTGCACCTTCAATGCCGTACGTGGCTGGCGCGTAATGCTCTCACTCGAAGCTTTACGAGGCCAGCCATCCGGCCTTTAATTTAATCCACTTGTATAAAAAAGTTTTTCATTCTGCCAGTAATTGAAATACATAAGCAAACCAACTTTATAAACGGTTTAAACTTTGTTATAGAATCATACACCAAGGATGAATATTTAGACACTTTCAATCATTAGACAATATTGATTTTCAAATCAATATTTGAAATTGAAGCTCATTATTTTTTCAAAATAAACTCTGTGAAAGACATTATTGAAATTATCTCTACAATAGCATTACACCGTAGATTGTCAACCTCTCCTTGAATAAATTTAATATAATTAAAATATGTTTATAAACCAATATAGTCGTTAAAATATACTAATGAAAACATTAATTATAAAGTAAATGTAACTGTAATCTATAATTTATATTAAATCGGAAATAATTCTAATAAAAAACTGGTTCAATTATATTTGAACTTCATTAAAAAAATAGGTATACAAATGAATTAATTTTTATAAGAAGTACTACATCAATTTTTAGAAAAATAAAAAACATGTTTTATGTATATCATTATAGTAGACAAGCACTTGTAAATACTTCATTATGGGGTAATAGAATAAATTATTTTTTAGATAAAAACTGCAACTTACATTTTCATTATCAAATTAACACAGATAATAGAATTGTATGCATTGTTATAAAATAAATTAGGAATATTTCAATAAAAATCAGAGTATAACCTGATTACAAAAATAAATGACTATGATTTTTAATTATTTATTACTACAATTTTTTTATTAAAACTGAATAATTTATCACTCATTCTAAATCGAAAACTTAAATCATTAAATAATGTTTAATCCTTTTAAATATGTAAAATTAAAATTTCTTCAGTTTATTTAAAAAAATAGAACAAATATAATAAAAACTTTAGAAACTACAGTGATTACCCTTTTAAAAATACCAATAGTTTTTATATCAGATAAAAAATTTTCTAATATAATTTTTAAGAATACTAAAAACGATTATTTTTCAAAACATTAATATATTAAATATTGTAAAAATAATACAGATATAACCATATAAAATTCGACAAAAATAATAATTCTTAAAATTCCTTTAATAATAATGCTATTCATTAAAACTATATGATGAAGCCTAATACAACAAAATGAAATAAACATGCCATAGCTATTGCTTTACCAGATAGTTATAATACGTGAAAGACAAGTATTTAAAATTACAATTATTTTGTTAACTTAAAAATCCTTAGGATTACCTTATGATAAAATCTTCTTTCATCAAATTTAAATAATCCATAATAAAAATTATATAAAGCAATTTGAATTTGCAACATTTAGAAATAGAAATTTTTTTCCAATTGCAATATGCCAGTACCTATATTTTACTTTCAAGTTTGTTAAGCGTTTATTCTTAGAATTTTATTTTTATTTATTTTGTATTATGTATATAATTTTATATTGTATAATATTTTATACGAAAGTTGATTTACTATTAATAAATCCATAAATTGATATAAATACCTATAAATATATACAATCATTCATTCTTACTATATATATATATATATATATATATATATAACTATATAATTTTCTTAATTATAACTGATATTTATGTTTAGTAAAACGATAAACAAATTGACCGCATTCCGACTATTAGTATTTATTTCTTTCTACGTGATTCATTTCACTCTCTCTCTCTCTCTCTCTCTCGTGAGTGCTTCCGCTTCTATAAAATTCTTTTTCTCTTTCATTACACCTTTACACAAATACTTTTTAATACATTTTATCTAAAATATTTCAATTAAGATCTAAGATCATTAAATATCTTTTTTTTGTTTTCTAGAGACATATCAAATTCTTATTCAAAAGTAAACTGTTTTGTGTCTTTTAATATTGCTATGAGCAGAACAAGGTTATTGTTATTTATTTAATTAATCAATTTAAATATTAATAACATTTGCAACGCTATCTGAAATAACTTTTAAGAAATGAAAGCAGGTAAAAATGTAGCTCTTTTGCATTGTAACCCAGCGGAAATACAGCGTTTTTGCGATTACTATAATCTTTACTTTAGATAGTTGTTTTTTTTATAAAGACAGTGGTTGTTTTGAACCGTAATTTATAATTATATTATTATAATTATAACATTTCTAAATTTATTTTTCATTTTATAATTGAATTGAAATACATTTTCGAATACGATTAGAAGGTCGGCCCAGATTTTGAATTAAGTTTTACAATCATAAGTTATGTAAGAAAAAAATCTGTGCCGTATCTGGTAAAAAATGATGTGGAACCTGATAGTAGAATGCTCTATTAATATGTGTAATATCAAAGTTTGTTTTTTTTTAATTTTTATACATTATTTTTTATAGTTCATTGCAAATGAACTTTCAATTCATGCAGACATTAGTTACGTATAAATCATTTGGATCCATAAAACATAAATTTTAACATAATTTGTACAGAAATTAGTATAGTATGTTATTTCAAAGTTTAATACTTTCTACATCTCAGGAACGGATATAAAACATGGATATCATGTACAATATCTGAATTGGAGTCAGTTATGTAATTTTATATATGAATTTAGTAGACCGATCCAGAACTTAAATATTTTTAAAATTATAAATATTATCTTAAACATATATATTATATGCATACAAATGAAGATATTTATTCTTATAAGTAATCATTTTGAAATTGTAACAAATCGATCGATATAAATTACATTGCTTTTTATAGAAATACACTACACATATTTCGTTATTTATTTGTTCACTCTCCCCCTTATTTCTTTTATTTGTATCCTAATCTTTGTCATATCACTAACGACTTTATGACCAATCAGGAAGTAAGGTTATACAAAAGAAAGATACAAATTCTAGAAAGAATATTTTATTTAACAATAACTTGCATGCGTCATTATAAATATCTTAAAGTTTAGCAATGCTTATTTATATTTACATAATAGAACTGAATGTGCCATGTCAAATATAACATTAAAACGAATGTTTGGTCTCCATACGTTACCAAGAATTTAAGTATAAAAGTATAGTAACCTTCTTTATCAACGAGAGCCAGTAAGCGTCTTTATATATCGCATACCGAAATATTGTATATTTTCGTTTTTCCTGTTTATCATAAAAATCAAATTAAATGGAGAATGAAATAAAAATTACTGTAAAATGGAGTGGTGAAGAATATTCTATTACTGATATAGAGGAAAACGATACAGTTTTATCATTAAAAGAAAAAATTCAAAAAATGACAGGTGTTAGACCCGAGAGACAAAAACTACTCAATCTTAAATTTAAAGGTTATACTTTGATTACTAAACAATAAAAACAAGTTTATTTAAAAAATTATTTATAATAAGAAGAATATAATATTTAAAAAAATAATTAAAATAATAATTATGTATTTTAAAACAAAAGGAAATATAAATTAATAACTTAAACATGTGTTACATCAAATGTATTCCCTTAGAAAGTATTGATTATATATAGACATTTAAAGTCTATATAAAAATAAAATATAATTGTTCGAAAATAGTAAAAAATGTATTTTTTTAATCACTATTTTTATTATAAAATGTACGAAGATTTTTAATATGATTTTAACTTATATCATAAAATCAAAAATATAAAAATCTTTCATTTTATATATATATTTTTTTTTTATTACATTATTTTATACTAATTATATATCAAATTATAATATAAATTAATATTTGATATTTTTTATCAGTCTAATATTTTTATGATAAAAAATTGATTTTTATTAATAGGAAAGCCAGCACAAGATAGTGATATTATAAGTAAATTAGATCTGAAACAGGGTTTTAAACTTATGATGATGGGCTCTCGTGAGGAAGATATTGCTGAAGTCAGTCAAGCACCTGAAAACATGCCTGATGTAATAAATGATTTAGATATTGAAGAAGAAGAAGTAGAAATTGAAAAGGCTGAAATTTATCTTGCTAAAATTCAAAAACGAATTGAGACATATAAAATTCAAGAATTAAATCCATTGAGAGAAGGAAAGAAATTACTTGTTTTAGACATTGATTATACTCTTTTTGATCATAGATCTGTGGCTGGAACTGGAATTGAACTTATGCGACCGTATTTACATGAATTTTTAACAAGTGCTTATAAAAATTATGACATAGTTATATGGTCTGCAACAAATATGAAGTGGATTAATGAAAAAATGAAACTTTTAGGAGTTTCAAATCATCCTGATTATAAAATATCTTTTTATTTAGATTCTCTTGCTATGATTTCTGTATATACACCAAAGTATGGTGTTGTAGATGTTAAACCTCTGGGGATTATTTGGGGAAAATATAAACAGTTTTCTGCTAAAAACACTATTATGTTTGATGATATTAGAAGAAATTTTATTATGAATCCACAGTCAGGACTTCGAATAAGAGCTTTTAAACAAGCACATTTAAATCGACACAAAGATCGTGAACTACTTAAATTATCAAAATATTTAGAGTCGATAGCTTCTTTAGAAGATTTTCAAATTCTTAACCATAGAAAATGGGAAGAGTACCGATCTAAAAAAAGCAAAAGTAGTAAACGAACTGAAAGTGATGAGACACGTACTCATAATGCATAAATTTAATAGTGAAGTAACTTATGAAAATAAAATTATTCTTTTAATTTTAATTAGTGATAGATTTATAAATAAATAAATATGTACAATTAAATCTTAAAATAATATTAAACTCAAGATTTTTACATATATTATCTTTATATTCATCATTTTTATTGAAAAATGAAAATTTACTTTAATAATTGGAATATTTTTTTATTTTTTTATACAAAATTTAAATTCTGTTTTTTCTTTTCTTGTAGTAAATTACCTTACCATTGTACTTAATTTTGTATTAAATTTATTATATTTTTAATTATCTAAATTCTATAACAAATAATTTGTTCTATAAACGTACATTCTTATTTTATAGACATTTGATTGATAGAATATAATGATAAAATTATTTAAGTCAGATATTTTATTAAAATTTATTTTAAAAAATTAGCTTTAAAAATGCGTATAAAATAAATTATATATTTTGTACTCTGGTGTAATATAATTTAGAATTTAAATGTATTTTGTTTCATTTGATAGTTGCATATATATTTTATAAAATAAAAATTATTTATAACGTACATATAAATTTTAAAATAATTTTTTAAATAAATTTTAAAATATGAATTTTTATATAATTTAAACTGTATTAAAGCATTGTAAATTTGTATTTGTAAAATTTATGCAAATAAATTGAATAAAAGAACGTAAATATTACTGAAAACAACTGTAAATATTTGATCTTATGCAATATTTTTTTCAAATAAACAGAAATTAATATATGTTCAATAACTTTTTAAAATTTTATTTCTCAAAAAATATAATTTATATAAAATGTTTTCAGTATTTACTATTCTGTTCTTTATTTATTAAAGTAATAAAAAAAATTAGTTTATGTTTAGACAAATCCTTATAATTTTTATAATTATAAAATATTCATGTCAACAGTGCCCATAAATAAAATATAATGAATTTTATTGATATTTATATTTCTTTAATAATTAAAAATATATGCGTATAACTGTAAGAAAATTAATTTTATCTTGTATTGAAAATATAAAGTTAATATCTACACCTAATTTTAATATATTTACTTACAAACATGTTTTAAAATTGCAATAAAAGTTTTTGTGCTTCTAAATCTTCTCTTGTTGAATGTGTATTAAAAATAAAAAGTCGTTCTTTATTAGTTGCATACACAGTGTGATTATTTACAAGATTTTTATGTACTTTTAAAGTATTTTGTAAATCAATAATATTAATAAAAGGTGTAATTGGTATTAATGTTTGTGTAGAACATGCTAAAGCAAATGCTTTAGCTTGTTCAGCATCTTCTATACATAATTTTTGACTTGGCATCTGTCCAGCAGGATCTATAACTGTTGGATTTATAAATCTAGTTTCTTGTATAATGGATGATGTATTTTTCTTCCATGAACTTGGTACTGTTTCACCAATATTATAAATAAAAGATTCATCACGAACACAAAATCCCTTACGCTTTGTAAGCATAGCTGTTACAATATTTTTCAAAAAAATATGAGTAGCAGCTATTATCAAGTGTGCAGTATTATCTTCAGCCCCATCCATATTATTTTCCCAAGCAGCTAACATAAGTCTGGCTAATACAAAAGTACGATCTGGTAAAACTAATTCTTGTGCACTTGACCTATTAGCACCTATAGGTTCATCGCCTGCTGGTGCAGATACTTCAGTTAAGACTTCTGCATATACATCGGCTGGTTCAAAATTAGACTTATCTGTTCTATACTTTCTTTTTAAACGTAATCTTTTTTCTTTCATAGTTAATGAATTATTATGAATACTATTATTCACTCTACTGATTCTTGTTGGAGTTGTTAAAACAAGACCTCTAACTTTGTTAAATAAACAAAGCAGGAATTCGTTATGCAAATGTACTTGATCGTCCTTCATTATGTTTCTAGCATCATTATCAAATTCTTCTTTTGTTATTTTCATTTGAAACCATAACTTCATCTTTTCAAAATAAATCCTAGCATTTTCTCCTAATGAAGTAACAAGTGTTTTTCGTGCAACGTTTAATTCTTTTAGAGATGTCATCGATTAAACTAATTATTTTTATCAAATAATTAAACAGACCAAACAATTATATAAAGAGTATAAAGCTTACCAACAATTGTAGAAGCATTAGAAATTTATATCGAATATACATTATACCAAAAACATGTGATAAAGAAGAATGTACAATTTAATACCTAAAGAAAATATTAGACATGCGCAATTGAAGGAATAGACTAATGTTTTACATTGACGAGCTTAATACAAAATTTTACAAACAAATAAATGTACTACATGCATTTAAAGAATATTGTCAATTTAATATTAATTAAGAAATACATAAAAACAATATTTTTTAAAATACTACTTTAAAAGTGAAATTTATAATATTAAACATTCATTAATTAAATGATTACAAAAATATCGTTATATCGTTATCGCAATCAACGTAAAGGTTTTATATTTTAGTAAATTATCTAAAAAATAATTATTTTCAATTTGTGTGAGTAACTGGTATCAATAAATTGTAACTTTTATGTATTTTTGTTTTTTAATTTACTAATGAATGTAGGGTTTCAAAAGCATGTTCAATGATGGATTAATTAATTGATTTTTTTAAAGTTTCTAATTTTATTATAAATACTGTATTTTAAAGTATCAATAATTGGTACATGATTTTTAAAAAAGCATAAAACATATTTTATTCACAGGTAATAGTTCATTTTAAATAATTTATTTTCCATTCTAAATTTAAATTGAAAAATGATGTCAGATAATCTTTTTATTTATTATTATGTATTATTAATTTAATCACAGTCTTTATATTGTAATAAATTTTATAAAAATAAAAAAACTTTTAGGAAAATATTCTTTAGGAAGCCAATAAGCTTAAACCTCAACTGCGCGTGCTTCAAAAAGACACGCTACATTTTCTTATATATGCTATGTGAACATTGTAAGACTAAAGCGTTTTTTATACTAGATCAGGACGTGGCTATATATATTTTATTGAAGTTTAAATGAAAATTAACGGCAAGTACCAAATACTAATTACGAAATTAATTATAATTTTATTTACGAAAAATTAACTTATATAAAAATGAAATATCTTACATTTTTTACTATCATACAAATAATTACGTCAGTATTTACTGAAAATTGTCAAAAACCAGAAGTTACGGCATTAGCATATATAACTGGAGATGCTACCATTCTTACGCAAATAGCATTCACTACTCAATTTTCCTTAAAATGTATAAATGGAATTAAAGGAATTTCGTTATATGCTGAAGTTAATGGAAAAGCATTGCCAGCTGTACGACTAAGTGCCGAGAATAAATATCAGGTACTCTTAATTCTTTTATTACAAAACACCAATTATAAGACTAAAATTAAAAGTATATTAATTTTGAAATAATTTATTAAATTATTATAATAAAATATTTTTTAAATTGATAAATTTTAAAACATGAATATTTACAAATATAAATAATTGAAATTATATACGAAAAATTCTTTATTTTTATAGGTTTCATGGACAGATGATATTAAAACAACTTTTTCAGGTGACTATAGTATCAAACTTTATGATGAAGAAAGCTATTCTGCTATTCGAAAAGCTATTAGAAATAGTGAAGATCCGAGCAGTATTAAACCATTAGCTGTTATAGTACTGAATAATCCAGGAATTTATATGGGACCATGGATAAATTCTGAATTTTTGGCTGCTTTGCTAGCAATATTTGTATCTTATGCAGCTTTTTCAGCTAAATCTAAACTATTAGCATAAATACATTTTTATAGAATTTATAAGTATTTATTATAAATATTATAAGTTCATGAAAATAAAAAATATTCAACCAATATTATAAAGATATATTGCAAAAGCTTTTTTCTTGTTAATAAATTAATATATTTCTTTTGGAGTCGATTTTCCAAACACAAAATTCCATGATGGTGGAAACTTAAATTTAGAATCTATTTTAAATAATTGAAGCCAACAATTAAGACAATTTATTAATTCAACAGCATCAGGAATATTATTTCCTTCAGAACAAAATTTAAATAAAACGACAGAAATAATATTATTTTCCTGCAATAATTCAAATATCATCTGTGCAAATCCTCCTCCGTGTATTTGCCATATAGTTTTATTACTGTCTTCCAAAAATGATGATTCTAAACCTTTCCAAGATAATTCTTCAAATTGTTGTTTAAATTCTTTACTTATATTTTTAGTAGTCAAATAACAAAATGGAACTGTTCTTATTTGTTCATCTCGTTTATCATGTCCAAAACAACTTGTTAATATGATCACCTAAAATCATTTTATTTTAAGATTATTTTAATGAAAAAATTATTTTATTTTCCATTTAATTTTTAAAAAAATCTAAAAATGAAAATCAACTATTTGTTAAACATGTACAAATATTTAAGAATGAATCATTATAAAAAATTTATAAAAATAGTAATTTATAGAAAATCATATTTATAATTGTCACAAAACTAATCTTATTAATTTTATATTCAACTACATTTATTTCTATTTATTAAACCATTAATTTTTATAAAATTAACCATCTAAATTACAAAATTATATGTATTAATTTTATAAATCATAAATAAATTATAATTTACAATAAAATATTTTACACTTAACTTCAAATAGTTATGGGAATTAAAAACTGCACCTATTCAAATTGCTTATACAAAATAAATATTAATAATATGTAATATAACCAATTCATAGATCAATTTATATATTAAAAATATAAAACCAACACATATAAACAATTTTTAATATGGCTTACCTTTAATATTTTATAATCTTTTACAAAATTTAATATTTCATAAAAGAACTTTTTAGCCTTTTTAACAAGAGGTGTTCTTATTTGTAAAACTACAAGTTTCTTTTCATCAGATAAGTACAAATCGACGGATGTACAAATTTCTTGGTTAGTTTTATTATAAGGATCAGCACCAACAAGTGGTATAAAACAGGTATCAAAAATGCAACCGATTTTTCGTAAGCTTAAAGTCGAAATAAGTAAATCTATACTTAATTGAGCAACATTGCCAACGGCCACAGATGGTAAGATCATTGTATAATTAGTCAAATACAATTTTTTGTTCAAATATATCATTATTAAATTTAAATAATGCACTATAATTGAATCAATAAATAACTATATAGTCTAAAGGCGTAACTAATCTGTTGCACAGCGCGTAGATAAATCCTTTTCAAACATGAGCAAGAAATTTCAAGTTTATTGGCTTATATTTTGAATGTACCCAAATGCAATGAGATTTTCTATAAACTGCTCAAATAAATAGAGGTAACAAAGTGATACATAAGTTACAAACAAAGTTATGAAATATCATTCATTTAACAATCCTGAAATTTCAATAATTAATTTTTGTTTTAAAATTTACATTTGAATTTGTATTTTAAATATATCATTTTTATATTAATGCCATCCGAGCATATATATTTAGCCAGTTTTTTACCAGTTTAGTTGTTTATTTGTATGCTTTTTATTTTAATATTTATGTATAAATTAAAATAATAATATAATATATAAATTACGAATTAATTGTTACATTTTATATTATCATAAAATTAATTGAAATAACACAATTTGATTAGATAATTATCAAATAACTATCAGTTGAAAATAGTTTTTCAAGATTTTTAAAGGCTATTTAAAATTTAAAAGAAGTCTATGTGCACTTGATGAAAGCTCAAAAACTATTTATTTTTATATATAATTTTATATAGTTTTAATTTTACACATGATACAATTTACTATTATTCATAAAATGTATACGTTTGGATATAAAGTGCATAAATGAAGTTTTTTAAAATTTCTATATAAAATATTCATTTATTAACGTATTTTTACAAAGAAAATTTTATTTTATAAAGAAATATCTAACGGGTATATTAAATAAAAACATAATTAATTCCAGAAATATAGTATGCATATTTAGATCTATGAAACTACGTAAAAAAAATCAAAATTTTACTATAAATTTTAAAATTGTACAGCAATTCGAAGATAAAATATACTATTTTAACAAAATTAGCATTGAAACCATAAAAATTGCAATAATTATCATTCGTTGTAAATACATTATAACAAGAATCTACATCATATATAGATTAATAAAAAAATAACACTAAAATTTATTTATTGACATGTAATTTTAATTTTATTTCATACAACCTTTTTTTATTCCTTTTTTTATTTTATTTATTATTTCGATATAATAAAATTAATTATTAAATTTCATAAATTATTAATACAGTATAATACGACAGCGATAGATTGTGGAACTATCAGTTAATTAATTCGTCAAATTCATTATGAACTATGTTGTTTTTCTATCAATATTTCTTTTCTGTTTCATTCTGTTGTTGAGAAAAAATATGATAGTAAATTTGCTACATGAGAATTTCATTATTTTACTAACAATTGATAAATCACTTTCGTAATATCGATGATATTATTTTCGTAAAAAATTCGTTAGTTTCATAATCAATTAACAATAATAAATAATACACATTTTGAGATAGTGCCATTGAGATCTAATTAATGATATACTGAAAATCAAATCAAAATATAAACATGTTAAATATAATTTAGTTAACATTTTAAAAAACTAAATGTAACTGCTTCCCATTATTTCTGTATAAATTGTTTTGATGAACTAATTGCAATTTATAAAATCATAAATAAAATTTGTTTAATTACAAACATATATAGTAATAATTATAAATGAATAAATGATACTAATAAATGTTTAAATATAGTTTTAATTTAATTTCAAAATATCTATGTGAATAAATTGTGCGCATTTTAAAAACAATAAGTTTAAATCTCCATTGCGCGTGCCTTTGAAAAGTGGTACCTCTAAACTATCTATAATCAATTTTATTTTTAAGATTTTTGAAAGTATTTGTGTTTAATTTATAGATGTAAATTAAAATATTATAATAAAATTTATAAAAATGAAAATATTTTAAATTGAAGACTTTAAAGTATTATAGAAAAGTATTTCTATTATGTAACAAATATGGATACAAGTAGTTCCAACTCTGTTGTTGGTATAGAAAATACAGAAATAATAATTGTAGGTGCTGGTATTGCTGGATTAGGAGCTGCTATAACTTTAGAACAATCAAATTTTAAGAATTACATATTATTAGAAGGTGATAGATATATATTTTATAAAAACTATTTATTAATAACTTATTATTATATCTAAATATGAATTATTTTTGTCAGATTATTCTAATTTAAATTAAGTAATTTCTTTGTACAAAATTTTTAGTTTTCTATGTTATAAAATTTAACGTGTGAATTTAAAGTGATCAATTTTAATTAGCTCAATCACAAATTGGAGGAAGAATTTGTTCAATACCTTGGAATAATAGTTGGTTAGAGAAAGGTGCACAATTTTTGCATGGCAAAGGAAGTAAGTTAGCCCAACTTATTGAAGAAAGAGGATTTCTTTCAGATATTGAAGCTGTAGAAGGAGATGGACTTTATTTAAGAGAGGATGGTAGTGAAATAGATAAAAAATTAATAGCAGAAGTAGATGAAATTGTTAGTAAGATTTTAATAGATTGTGAAAAATATTCAATAAATAATGATATTGATTTTATGGATGTAAAAGAAAATATAGGTAAAGTTTTAAGAACTAAATTTTATAAGCATATAAAATTAACAGATGATCCATTAGACATAAAAAATGCCAAAGAAGAACTTTTTGATTGGAATGTTAGATTTCTTGCTATTGATAATGCATGCATATTATTGGATGAACTTTCATTAAAAAGTTGGGGAAAGTACAAGGTGAAAATCATAATTATTTTATAGTATATTTTTCAAATATTTATTAATAAATTTAAATATATAATCAAATTTTCAATGGTATAATTTTTATTTACAATTTTTAAGTCATTTTTTATTACAAATTATTCTTACAGTGTCTTATTGGTCCAAAAGTTAATGTTTTTAAATCATACTATGGTTCTATTGTGGAATCAATAGCTAAACAATTAACAAAAGGCAATCTTAGATTAGATAGTCCAGTTAAAAAAATTGAATGGAGCAAAAAACTAAATTTAATTAATTCAAAATCAGTTCTTGTTACATTACAAAATAATAAAAAGATTTTAGCAAATTCTATAATAGTTACTTGTTCATTAGGTTTCTTAAAAGAAAATCATGATAAATTATTTACACCTATATTACCAACTCGATTGACTAAAGCTATCGAAAGTTTGGGCTTTGGGGTAATTAATAAAATCTTTCTTGAATTCAGTGAAACCTGGTGGGATCCAAATATTAAAGGATTTCAATTCTTATGGAAAGTAACAAAAAAATCAAGTAATGATGAATTAATAAAAAATAAACTCAGTTCATGGACTAGAGATATAACAGGCTTTGATGTTTTGAAAGATCATCAAACTGTACTATTAGGTTGGGTAGGAGGTAAAGGTGCTTGTATTATAGAAACATTGAGTCAACAACAGATTATTCAAGATTGTGCTGAACTGTTTAGGTTTTTTTTAAAAAATAATAATGTACCTAAAGCTAATAAATGTTTATGGAGTTGTTGGGCCAGTAATCAATTTATAAGAGGTAGCTATAGTCATATAACAAAAAAATGTGATATTACTGGTGTTTCACCAGCTACTTTAGCAGAACCAATTTGGAGAAAAGTTCAATATAATGAAAAACAAAAGGTAATCAATTATACTTTTTAAATGATTTTAAATAAATTTGTTTTAAATACAATAATATTATCTCCATATTTTAATAAAAATTTTAGTATTAAAAATAAAAAAATCAAGTTTCCTCTGAATTTCAATTTTAATTGTTTAATTCAAGTTTGGGATTATTGACATAGTAAATTCTTCAATTGATAAACTCTTGAATTTTTCTGTATAATATATTGTTTTAAGTTAAACTAAGAATAAATATAAAATATAACATACTACGTAATGCTTCATAAAATTTAATAATTGAATAATTTGCATTACAAATATTAAATATCTTTTTCAAGCTTTCAGACAAACTGTACTAGAGTTCTTTAATATATTATTTGTTACTAATCAAATACACAATTTTGATGTCATAAAAACTTATTAACATAAATTTAAATGCATTAATCACTTATCAATGTTATATTAATGAAATTATTACAATAATATATACAAAATAATATATTACAAAATAAAATACCTAATTTTACATTTTTAATCTAATAAAAAGTATTATAGAATTTTTTATAAAAATTTTGAAATCAAAAGTATTAAAGTTAATAAATTAATATTTAAAAACTTGTAATTAAAATTTATTTTTATTACAATAAATTTATATTTATTGTAGTGCCTTCCAATTTTGATGCTAGCAGGAGAAGCTACTCATGACAATTTTTACTCTACCACTCATGGAGCTTATGATAGTGGTATAAAGCAAGCTCAAACTTTTTTAAGTTATATTACACAATAATAATTAAAACATATTTTATTATTCGTAAATGCTATTAAGAATTTTTTAAATAAAAAAATTTTTATCATAGTTTTTTTAGAAATATTTATACCTGCATCAATTTGTATATTACTAAAACATGAACTTAATGTAACTATATAATTATACAAATAAAAATTTTCAATGGTTTATACATTAATTAGCTATTGTACAAATATATGGCAATATTAATATCATTATTTTATTCTATAATATTATTATATGAATTTACTTTTACTAAAATCTTATAAACTATACATTTGTAAAACATTTTATAGTAGATTTATGTAATTCTTTTGATTATTATCTAATTTATATAATTTATCTAATTCTAGAACTTATAAAAATTAGTTTGTTATAATTTAGTTTAAAAAATTTAATATTTTTTGTTTTAGACAAATTTATAGAATATATATATTTGATTGAATGTTCTTAATTCATTGATAGGATCTTCAATCTACATTTTATTTATTTATGAGTTGTGAAATTAGAAAGCAATTAAAAATTGTTTGGATCTATAATATTTAATAGTTATCACAATATTATTTTTTATACATGCATATACAATTTATTCATACAAGTTCATTTCAAAGAAATAATTAATTGAAAAAGCCCATGTTATAAATATTTTAAAAATTATAAAAAAAATGTTATTCGTAAAAGTCTAATACTTATTTTTATATTATTTACTAATTAATCCTTTACCTTAATTATTTTAACTATTCTCATTTTATTAACATATATTTAATAATAATATCAATTTGATTAAACATTCATTTTACATAGTTAAAATATTAAATATTAATATATTTTAATAAAATAATTAATATTGATATGAATATAATTAATAAAATAAATTTTTTAATGTTGGAATAAATAAAATTATAATTATAGTTTACGAAAGAAATAATTGTGAATTGTAATAACTTTAGTGTTTATTCAAAACCTAAATAAAAAAATAAGATAAAAATAAAAATAAAGTAATATCTTAATGATTGAGCATTAATTTGATTTATTATTGAGTTTTAAAGTTCATAGATATATACATTTACTTTAACAGTTATGTATTTCAATTAATTTGTTCCATATTTTGTATAGCTTCATTTTTCCTATAAAATTGTATTAAATTTAGATTTCAATTTTCAAATGCAATATATATAAAAAAAATATTTTTTTATAAATTATATACAAATTATTTTGTTGCTTTCAAAATACTTTCAACTAGAATTAGTTAAATTAACTTTGATTAAAATTTTAGTTAATACATAAATTTTTTATATTTAATAATTATAGAACCACTAGTATTATAAAGGAAAAATTCATTACGAATTACAAAGGTTTAAATTCTAGTAAATAAAAAATTCATAATCATATTTATTTTAATTTATTGTAACTTTCATTTTACGTAAAAATATGTTATATTACAGAACCAGAAGTATCATTAATACTAAAATTACAAAAAAATATCGCATTCATTTTGTAATATATAATTTTTAATTATTAGGGATTTGGTACATACAGTTAAAAAACTAATCTGTTTAAATAATCGTCATTTATTATAAATGAATCTTTTGTATACTTAGTATTGTATACTTAATACAACTGCTTATTCTAAACACATCTAACCAAAATTTGCCTAAGTTCAAGAAGATCAACTATTAAAATTAAAATTTTGGTAAACTATTAAATACAAATTTAATTACATTTTAATTACAAATTAAATTAATTTTCTTATTAAAAAATTACATTATACTCTAGCATTTAAAATAATTTTCCCCTTGATATGTTTATAAAGAGTAAAAATAGAAATAATCAATTTTTGTTACAATTTTAGTGATTCAAGGAATACAATACACATTATTAAAATATATATGGATAGATATATGTATGTATGATATATCAAATGATATTTGCATATCCAATTTCACATTTATATAAGATATATTATAAGAATTATGAAATGATCAAAATATTTGATAGTTATAAATATATAAAATAAAAATTTTGAAAATATTGACTAATGAAAATCATTTGTTACTTTTTTTATTCTAATAAATATCTTAAATGTTTTTAAAAGTTATAATTAATAAAAATAATGAATATGTGGACAAAATTCTGAACTAAAATTATTGTTAATAACTACTTAATTATAAATAAAAATTTCAGAAATATATTTTAATATTAAACATATTTCTGACCATTCTCTTTGTATATTGAACAGAAAAAAAACTCTGAGTAACTTTCAATGAAAAATATAATAATAAAGAGTAAATTACATGAGTATTGTAACAACTACAGAAATATGCGTTTCCTTTATACGCTCGTTTCCTTCTTAATATTTATCTTAGTTTGTGTTAACTTATCATGCTCGTGGTTGTTATCAGGCATCTCTCGGCTGTGTTCCTTACTTTTAGTATGATGTAATTTCTTATGAAATTCGCGAAGACTATTCTCATCATTCCTCTGATCTAAATCGTAGAGCTCTACAATGTTACCTAACATAGGTTCATCATCTTTAACGACTGCTATCATAACTTTTGTCACGTTACCGGATACTTTATTTTCCAAATTGATTATGTTATCCGATGTTGGTGCTGTTAAAGTTGTCACAGAGAAGGGTCGAATTTTAGGATTCTGCTTTTCCAAACTATTGATGCAGTTAGGCTCAAAAAGAATCCTTTCGAGATGTAATCGATCACATGTAATTGGCAAGTTTTCCAAACACGTTAAATCATTAAAAGAACTTCGATAACGATTCCGTAAGGTAATAATTGAACGCTGATTTAAAGGAAGTGAACTCAAGCTTCCCGAGCAACGATTACATAAATTATCGAATCTGTAAATAAGTATTCATATGTATAAAATAAAATTAATTATTAATCAATTATTTCAAGGAAATGAAGATTTGAAAAAGTTAAGTTTCAAAAAATGCCAAGACAATGACACGAAGACATAAGATATTTAAAATTTACACTAAAACTATTTATATTTACAAATTTTATTCAAATATTATATACTACACTATACATATATTTCACATAGTATATTTCGTAAATATCATTACTAAAAAAATTTAACGTTTGCAAAGATTTATAGTTATTTACACAGTTCAATTTAAAATTTGATAACTACGTTTTAGATTTTTATATGTAGTTGCACAGCGATGGTAGTTATTACATAAATATCTTTAAAAATTAAATAATTAAATTCTGCTTTTACTTGTATTAAAATAAATAGATTCTATTATTTTCTTTATTATAACCCACATATACCTCATATTTTTCTGATCTTTTTCCTTAGATATTGTTTCATCGATATTCAATTTCGTACAAGAAATATTAATGGATTTTGACAATATTAACTGTGAAATACTGTGTTCACTACGTTTTCGTACTAACTGTGATGTCGATTCGATTTCAGAATTGCACTCCAAATTGAATCGCTGTGAAGCATTGCGTATCTTCTTTGCCATTCCTATTGTCATTTCGGCTTTAACAGATTTATAGGGACTTATACATGTTGCATAGTTCGTCATCAACTGATATTTCGGTCGACAGGCACCTACCATAATGATCATCGAATTTTATACTATGAAAAATTTCATAATTATTTTAAAGATAATAATTTTTATATAAATTTAAATAACCATCAACTCTAAAAATTAAATAAAAAACTATAACTGTAACTATAATTATGAAATTAAACCATTATATTTAAATAAAATTAAATAAAATTCTAATTTCTGCTCTTATACCTTTTCTCCTAAACTATTTTTTTGTTCAGAAAAGTAAATATGAAATATATATACATATGCACAAATTATAAATATATAGAATGAAATTTACTATATATTTTTAACATAAAAAAAGTAAATATATATTTTAAAAGCTATCATCCTACTTTTAAAAGCTATAATCCTTCAGTTTATTCCTTATTTATTTATTATAATTTTTTTATTTACTTAAGTAATAAGTAATAAGTAATTACTTTAATTTCATTACTATTTTTAATAAATTTTGAATAAGTTTCTCCATTTTCAATACAATTCAGGTATATTTTTCTTACTTTGGAACTAAAAAGAAAATGAATATTACACTTAATTTTGTTTTCTGTTTAAGTTTAGAGAAATTTAAAAAATATATAAATATGTATTTACTTTATAAAATCTAACAACTACAATTAATTTATTATAAATAAAGTAACAAATAAAACACAAAACATAAAAATCAAATAAATATTACAATTTGTTTATTATATAAACAAGTCTAATATTAATTTTATTAGATAGGATTAAATAATGTTTAAAAAAATAGTATGCTTTAGTAGAAATACATAATTAAAATATACCTTATTGATATACTATATTCTGATTTCATTACTTAAATTAAATATTTATATTTCAATAATAATTTATTATAATTTGTATACTCATATCCTGTTTCGGTAGCTTTATATTGTTGATTATTAAATTTCAAATTTTAAAATTGTAATTTAATAAAATTATATATACATGAATACCATTTTGGACAATTGAAACATCAGTATTTACGATTCCAATATTCTTTCCCAACTTTTCTTGCCCAATAACATATCTTAAGGAAAGATTTCTATCTTCAGATATACTTTCACCAATATCTGATAAAATATTAATATTTTTAGCATAGTTCACCGGATTTATTTCCACATGTATGTTGGTATTGTTAACTTTGGCACTACTTCCTAATATACTACTTTCAATATTGCCATCCAGCTTGATCGAACGTTTTCGTATACTAATACATCTTTCGTTACCGTTTATTGTACCACCATCATTTTGTTTCCTCGAAGCAAAATTACTGTTCATCATGTCGCGTCGCTGTTTTTTAAAGAATTTTCGAGCTACACCACTCTGATGCGGATTATAAAATCTTTCGACAGAAGCTGGTACGGATTCTGTGTTGAAGGTTGTTGCAGTATTATTAGAGCGATACTGTTGTCGATGTAGAATTACGAGATCAGCGTTGGCCACGAAATTTGATCTAACATGACAATGGTTTGATTCGTTGGAAATTAGTTTAAATGTATTACAGCTACTTTGCGATTTTTGTGTATTTCGTGAGGACCCAAGAGAAATAGAGTCAGAAATTACTTGCATAGCTTGTGAATTAGAAAGATGTGCAGCTAAAATATTATAAAAGTTTTTTAAGTAATCAGGATGGAATTAAACATTTAAACGAAAAATTAACAACCATTTTATTGCATATTTCAATTTTTAAATATAATTAAAAAAAATTATATTCTTAATAGAGATATTAATGATTTATAAATATACGCATAAATATTATTGAAATATCGTATTATTTATGATTGAAATTGTTTTTAAATAATTATTAATTTAACATCTACATAACAATTTATTCTTAAAATTAATAAATATAGATATTTTTTTTAATAAAAAGGGTATATGAGGGTACATAAAATATACAAGGGTTAATAACCAGGATGTAAAAATAATTTTTATAATTACAAAATAAATATTGACTAAAAAGTAGAAAGTCGGGAGATATGGATAACTGAAATCTATATCTATATTTTCTATACATTATTAATATATAAAATAGTTTACCTGTTAATGACACTAGTGGCTGTATAGGAATAGTGAGATTAGTGTCATAAATATTTCTTGTTCTACAACATCTATTCTTCTGTTTTAACCAACATCCCATGTTCAACCATTGAGCTCTAACATCGCTTCGTGCTATTCCATAAAATAATAATATGAACATCCCTAATGAACTTGCAGATATAGCATATAATATTGCAAACAATGTTTCTTTATAAGGCATGTATAGGAATAAAATATTTCCTGTGGTCATAGCAGCGCATAGCCAAGCTATTAAGTAAAGTATCATAACAACGATGAGTCCTTTCAATTGAGTCATCTGTATAAATACATAGAAATATGTATTACATAAAATAATTTACAAAACTATACATGAAAATTTATAAGTTTGAACTATTTAAAAGAATTGTTAACTTCTGTACTAATTTTTAATTTGAAATAATAAATATATAAAATAATAAAAATAAAAATATATAAAATAATCATTTTTTAACTATAATATTTTCCTTAATTATTTATTAATTTAAAAAAATTAAAAACCTATTTTTGTTGAAAATATATAAAGTTTATGTATAGTAAATTTTATAACATATTATGTCTGCAGTTTTTAATTAAATAAAAGAAACAAATTTATAACAATAATAAAACTATAACATAAAAAAATATGACAAATGATAATAATTATAACAATAATAAAATTATAATTTCCTGCGTATTTGTAGATAATATTAAAAATAATATGTTCCTATCAAAATAAATATTATGTTTAAATTTTTTATTTACTATCCTTCATTAATAACTCTACTATGATTTAATAAGAACTTAAATTATTCATATTACTTAAACTGAAATTTAATATAATTTTTCAACTTAAAAATATTTTAATTTTTATATTTTATTTTAAAGGACATTTATATATTTTTCTTAATTGAAAGGCTTATTTATTTAAAATATATTATAAAAATAAATATAAACTGTCAACGAAAAGAATCGAATAGTTTCTTTTTACGAGCGATAACTTTATTCAACTGACGACACTTTTGTATACATTTTCATTTAATCCAAATCTTTTTTCTGAAGCTATCTATTTACCGTTGGAAATAAGCAATTATCATTAGAAGTCAGATATAAAGAATGCATGAGACGGTGAATTAATTAGTTCTTAGATTCATTCAATATTTTTACCACTTTCATTAATATATTAATAGATGTATTATTTAGTAAAATATTTTTTAGTATACATGGTCTTTTCTTATTTCTTCCTTTGAATAGTCGAATAAAAAAAACTTCAATTATTTTTTCCCTTTTGGGTATAACTTTTTTCAGCTAAATATTGCCACTTTGATTATGGGCAATTTTTATTACTAAATAAGCAATAAGGATATATAGTTTATCCATTGTCACGAATCCGTTCAAGCTGAACTTTTTCGAGGAACTATGATGTATTCAACAATCAACTCATATATTTATTTGATTGTTGTATTTGTATACTGAGTTTAAATGGTCATAATAATCAATTAATAGTATTTTGTCTATGGAGTTACATGACGTAAAAAGGTTGAGAAGCTCGTTACTTTTTAGATTGAGGAATTCTAAATATACAAAAAAAAGCTATACCAAAGATGATTGACTGAAAACAATTTATGAATCACTATAAAAATGCTATACATAAGACCAAACAGAGTGTAACGGTCCATGCGTCATGAGTTATTTTATAACTATGAATGACGTAATGATACAATCGAACCCAATCCTGTCAAGAACTTTAATTTTACTTTAATATATCGGTGAATTTCTTTAAATGAAATATAATAATTAACTGCCTGAACAAATAATGTATATTATTAATTTCTACGTACATAATAATATTGCTATTTCTTATGAGTATTACAGTGATCTTGATGTTCTTGTTAGATTTCATATATCAAATCGTGATGTAATCCTTCAGATTTTGATATCTGCTCTATTCATAAGACGTTTAACTGATATTTACAATTTCTATTAGCGTTACTTTCGTATTATACTGTCAAAAATGTAATAATTTAATCGAATATATTTATTCTATATTGTCATAAATCACGCAAGTGGTCTACTTGCGTGTAAAACGCATTTTAAATATTAAGAGATTTGCACATTTTCATTTACCCCGTGACAACGTTAAGATTATTATATTAATTATAAATTATATTAAGAGTTAATACAAATCATAATGTTTGAATATGCAGTAATTATTTAACATTATTGAGAATTAGCAAAGCAAATTTTTGGTATAGAAACTCAATGGTTGTTATGAATATATGAATAAAGTTGTATTTATACTTTGCGATCATAGTAAACTCAAGGTATGACTCCATACCAATAACTGGACGTAAAATCTATATCTAGGAGACGGCCAATGCATGACTTTGCATAACGGGCATGATTATTTGAAATTGATTAATTTTTCTAGTTCGTTGACTTACTTTTTGTACGTGATAGAAAAAAGAGAGCATGACAAGCTATTGCTTCCTTTGTAATGTTGTTGACATCCTTTTGAGGGAAGTAGAAGACGCAATTCCAGGGACGGTGACTATCGCCAAAAATATATAATTTCCTATTTTTAATTTTGTTTAAAACATTTATCTTTAAATTTTCTGATTGTATTTATCATACAGACAAATATCAAAAACATAGATATTTTTTTTAATTAATACTAAAAAGTATATAACATTAACCAGTTCATAAATAGAATTAAAAGGTTGATTTTTTTAATTTAACCATTTTAAAGGCAATGCGCATTATAAAAAGGATTTGTAAAAAGTATAAAGTTTTTCACAGTGCAATAACTAATAATTTTATATTTTTTTACATAAATTAATAAAACAAAAAAATCTGAATTAATTCTTTAATTGTCTAAATTCCTTAATAAAAGTATCGATTATTTTTAATACATGGTTTTACACTTCTCGCTAAACGTTTTACTATCTAAATGATTGCATTTTATTCTAAAAAAAATTTGCAATATTAAAAATAATTAATATTTACTGTTCTGATGTTGTAAATAAATATTGTTTTAAGAAAACTAATATTAATTATATTTTAAAAATATTTAAAATTTATATAAAAAAATTTGCATTTAAAAAGAAGGAAATAAATTTATATTTTATATAAATTAAGAAATTGAAATAGAAACTATAATTTTTTACGTATTTCAAACAATATTAATTTTAGATGCTACTTGTTTATCATATGACAATTACCTGAGAATGTTCCTGATCCTCGACTTCGGATGACACAGCCTGTGAGCTATGTAAACTGATCCTATCACAGACCAAATTTGGATTAGGCTCGAGTAGTTCAAGATCAACATTCTCGGTTGCTTGCGTACCTTCAGACAGTTGTCCATTAAGATCAACATTTCTAATCGAGCATCGTATAAGCATGTGTAAAATTGTCAAATATATAAGAAGTACAGTGGCGGGAACAAAAAGAGCAGCGAGAGATGGAGTTGAAGTAAAAAAACAGTATGAGTAGTTCCCATGTTCACGTAAGTTAATTGCTCCTGAAATGCCGCATATTATCAAAGCTATACCCCAACCGACGAGATAAAGTCCAAAAAGTGGCTTTCGTATTGGTTTTTCACGAAGCCCATCATCATCTGTCATTGAATCCATTGTTGATTTTGATAAGCGTTTGTACATATTGCTGCGAACATGGCTTCATTAGAAAAAGAAATTTGAAAATTATTTCAAATTTAATACTACTTTATGCGTCTTAGAAAAAATTTTCTAAATAAATATTTTGTTATATAAATATGAAATTGGTACGATGACTATTATAATAATCTAATCTAAAATCTAATTTCATTACAATAATTAAATAATTCAATATCATTTAAAAACAATATATTATTTAAAATTGTTTTACCTATAATTATAAATATAATACTATATAAAAATAATTATTTTATCTAACTTTTTTAAATTTAATAATTTATTATAATTTATGTTAAATAATTAATTTAACATCTATGTTGATACAAAATATGAAAAATTGACTTACTACTACAACCTAAACTGACTTCATTACTTAGTTATCAATAAATGTTATATATACTAAAGAAAAATTAAGTATTAGGATTAAGTATATAATTCAATAGAATATAAAATAATATATATCATTAATGTAAAATTATAATCATGCAGGAAAATACGTAATTATAAATGTAATAATAAATATAACCTAGCACGATAATAAAATTGTACTGAATTGTAAGCGAAAAAATGGAATCGTGAAAAATAATTTCTTACAATAATAATTGGACATGAAATATTTCTCTAAATAAAAATATTTAAGATAAAAATAATATATTCATGGATGTGTATAAATTAATATATGCCGTACTTTGAAATTACGTCAGACATCTGTAATTCATGAGTCTAGTATTTGATCGTCTCGTTTAGGACTTGTAAAGATTATGCTAAAAGTCAAAAATATTTACAAAAACTAACAAGTATATTTTTATAAGGTATAAATGTAACAAATTTCTATTGAGTTATTTTTTCAGAGATCCAAATTATGAAGCTTTGTGAAAATCTGAGATAGTAATACAAATTATATAGTATAATAGCCATTATATAATATAATTCAATACAGAAAATTATATTAAAATTTCAAACATGAAAATGAAAATAACCCTAAATTATTATAAACGGAATTATAAATATATTTAATATCTTTAATTCAATTATATATAAGTAAATACCTTGCAGAAACTGTCATCCAAAATAAACAACATAATGACAAATAATGTAAACCAATGCCAACCACTCGACAAATTTCTACATTATCAGTCTGTTGTATACCAGAACTATAAAGAAAACATAGAAGAGCCATAATAATCCATGTATTAATAATACAATGTTTTGCTTTTTTTGGCATTGCTATTGATGTATAGCAACAGATATATGTTACTGTAGTGCAAATTAAACATACAACCAATATAAAACTTCCTGCATATATTGCAGGATTTGAGTACTTGAATTTGGCACCTGTAATACTGTTAATAAAAAAATAATAATTCATATAGCAAATAGCAATTTATTAATTATATTAATTTTTAAACATTTTTTAATATATTATCACTTTACCTTCTACCATTTTTATGAACAAATGATTTATCTTGTAATAACCCATAATAACCAAGTCTATCACAATGAAAGATAATTAAATTATTAAGAAAATTTGATAAGTGGCAGCCATCACTAGTCCAACCTCCAGTTTTATTATTTAAGGATGTATTCCATACTACTGGTATTGGTTTGCTACTAGCATAGCGGATCAAAGGTGCTTTCAACATGATATATACAGGTTCTGTAAGATTATGAACAACTGTTCCAACTACAAACATTAAAAATTTGTAAGATTTTATTGAATTCAATCGAATATAATTTTCATAAATTTTCCTATATTTATTAAAACACGAATAAATTTTCTAAGTTATTAACAATGCCTCATAATAAAATTTATTTTACATAATATTATTAAATTAAATTAATCAGATAAAAATAAATCTATAAATATCTTATAAATTTTCTATCAAATATATGAATTTAATTTATGTAAAGTTTATTAGATGCATCTTAGATTTTATGTAACAATAATGTGATGAATAACTCACTTATTTTACTACCAACAATGCTTGAAGTCACATCTATATTGTCTTTATCATTTAGTTTAGGGAATAATTTATTATTAGTATACATTGATACCATAAGTTGATGATATAATGTGCTGCTTTTTATATTTTGAAAAAGTGAAGCAGGAAGTTGTACAGAAGCTTCTATCATTGTTTCACCAGCATTTGTATTAACTATTGTAGTTTTGTTACTCATAGAACAATGCAAAAGCTTTACATATATATTTTGGGAATTACTATACCAAGTACAAGTCAGACCCACAAAATTATCAGCCTTCACTCGATATTTTTCTAGAGCCATATTTTTCTTATGTAATTGTATGAGTTGACTAGATGGCGTAGTCTCCACAATAAGTTCAACAGTTTTAATTATTCTTGTGCAGACCTCATAGCTAATTTCTGCAGCTTTTAACATTGATTTCGGCAAATTTAAGAGCACATTCACTACATCAATTAACATAGTACCTAATTCTTTCTCTTCGACTAAATAACTTACATAATTTTCAAGAATTTTAGTCACAAAATTAATTTCTATGGGATCAGTCAAAGAAACTCCTTCACCAGTAATATTTTTCAATTTCTTTATTGTTTCTAATAAAGAACCTTTTGGAAGAGATAACTTTGTTAAAGACATATTAACCGTAGAAAATTGCTCAAGTATTTTTGTTGTGGCTGACACATATGGACAGGACTTAGTATTTAAATTCTGCCAATATCCAGTACTATTGCACTCATAAGACGCTCTTGGCAGAAATTGAATGAAATTAACAGGTAAACTACTACCCTCACAAGGCAATTCTACTGTCCATCCGACTATAGTTCGTGGCCAAGCATATACTCCTTTATTACTTCTTGTCACTAAAAATTAAAATTATTTTTAAAAATAAATAATTGTGTATAAATAAAATATATTCTTTCATACTATTAATAATAGCAACAAAATTAAATTTTATAATACTTATAATTGTAAAACTATAATTCTAAAATTTGTATTACATTTTATATCTAATACTTTAACAATAATTTCAATCATTTAATTTCTTCATTTGACTTTCATTCACAATAAAGGTAAAGTACCTGTTAAAGGACAATACTGAGTGTGATTAGATATAACAATGACATTTATTACTCGTGATATGTTTCCATAAGCTGAAACTAAAAGGCAGTTCCACTGTCCATTGTGCTCTTCTGTAACTGGATTAATACTGAGTGAACTGTGGATAAATACTAATATAGTTATATGATAAACATATTTAAATATTTTCAAATATTACACTTTAGATTTCAATAGATGTCAATAGATTTCAATGATCTTTATGATATTTAAAAATTCAATTAAATGGATAATTATTTGTATTCAATAAAATGATTACCTTGAAATAATACCACTATTGTCAATATATTTATTTTTAATCTCAACATTAATGAAAATATTTTGTGGATTATCATATAAATCAAGGTCTAAAATGTCAGAAGTAATATTTGAATTCCATAACCAGCTTAATCTAGCAAATCTATCACTTGTAATGCTAGGTGCATGACATTTTAAAGTTATAGTATCACCAGCAAAAACAACTTGATTTTGTTCAGGCACAATTTCAATAGTTGGTGTTGACCACTTACATTCAGATGCTTTAATGTCTTGTAATTTCTTCACTAATTTTCCTTTTAAACTTAATGGAAAATAACACTCTGGTGGTGGACTAAAATATTTTATTAATGCATTTAAAAATATAAAACATAATTTTCTGTAATAGTCCTATTTGTATATTAATTGAATACAACTTAATATGAACTCATAATTTGAAACTATAGTATATTAAATTTTATTTTATATTATTTTTTTAGATTTTATATTAATATTTAAAGGTTATAATTAAAAAAAAATATTTTTCACTGTTATGTTACATTAAAAACTTTTTTATTTCTTTTGATTACATGATAAGTAACATATTTTGAAACTTACCTTAATTTTATTGAATTATTTTGTATCCAATAACTAAACCAAAATAGATTACAATCACAATTCCATGGATTTGCAGAAACATCTCTGTAACAATAATATGTAACAATATTTAGTAATAAATGAAACATAAAAACAAATGTAATTTTTATTAATTACGTAGCTTTATTTGTGAACATACAATTCTTTTAATAACGACAAACCATGAAAAGTACCCTCTTTTAATATTTCTATTTTATTTCCGTTTAATTTCCTATAAATAAAGCAAAACATTTAATCAATACTGTGATATTGATGAAATAATATTATATTAAATATTAGTATAATTAATATTCAATAATAAAGAACTAATTAACAAAAATCTTAATTGACACTCATGAACAATAAATAAATTATAAAATATTGCAATTTAAAGTACTCATTATGTTGCTTGAAAAATTACTGTAATGGGACAATTAATAATGTAAAAAATTTCATTTTTTAAAGTAAATTCCGTTAAATACTTACAATTTTCGAAGATTTATTAATCTTTTAAAAGTATATGAATCAATAGATGAGATCAGGTTCTTGCTTAAATCTCTAAATATTAAGTATTATATAATTAGAAAAAAATATAGATACATATATATATACATGAGAACAATCTAATAAATTTTTATTACACTCAAAAAAAAAATATTTTAAAAGCCTAATTAAAAGTTAATACTAAATGAAATAATTTTTACTTACTAAAATGTTCATAAAATAACATAAAAATTCATAAAAATTAAAAAATTCTTACAATCGCTCTAAATATATTAAACCTTCAAAAATCCCTTCATTAAGTAATATTATTTTATTAACAGAAAGATTCAATCGTTTTAAATTTGATAAATTCTTAAAAGTATAATCTTCAATAATTGATATATCATTTTTACTTAAATCCCTTAAAAAAAATCATAGTAATAGATTTTAATTAGTTATAAATAAAAAAGTATAGGTAATTTGAACTCACAAATGTATCATTTCAATACTAATTAAATTAAAATCAATCTCTTTTATATCTTCTATTTTATCTTTACAAACTACTTTCAGCCATTCTGCTTGTGGTTTAATATGTCTACAATAACATTGAGATGGACACTTACAATATACTGAGAAAAAGCCTTGAAGAAAACTCAAGACTAAAATTATTTTGAACATTTTGTAAAAAAATTAGAGAGTAGATTAACAAAAATCACAATAAACAATCTTGCGCCTGCAATAAATAAAACAAATTTAGTAAGTAATTATAACTCTCATTGTAAAAATATATTTTAAGTTTTAAACTATTCAATTTATGTTAAAATATATTCTTTGTGATATATAAAATTAATCTAATAATATTATTAGTAAAGCCAATTTGTATTTAAAACCATTAAATATACATTACATAATTAAGAAAAAATCTTTTATATAGCAATAATATATTCAAATGATAAGCAAGATACATGAAACTTTTAATAGTTATAATTTATTATAATCATTAACATTTACCATAAATGTTTATATAAAATAAAATAAAACTAATCAAGTTTGATAGTAATAGCTCTGTATATGGTATTAAAAATATTTTTATAAATAAATTTTAGGAAGTAAATGGAGTGATTAAAAGTACGAAACATGAAACAAATTTATTATCAATCTCTTTTAAAATATTCACTATTTATAATATGATTATCATAATGATTTTTTAATGTTTGTTACTGTCTGTATAAAAATAATTTATAGCAAGATTACTTCAATTACAAAATTGTAAGGCATAAATCCGCCAGAAATAAAATACACTCACTCTATTTATGTTCAAAGTTGTACCATACTTATTTTATAAAAAAAATTTATTTATAATTGCATATGATCATTATTGTTAAATGAAATTTTTAATAAGGATAAACAATACTATTGCAATAATAAAATATACTTATTAAACTAATGATTTAGTTTATACGTATACAATGAAACTAAATGTTTGCGAAATAAAATGTACATAAATTACAAGAACATACATTATAATTGTTTGCTTAAAGTAAGTACAGAGATAATACAAATTTTCTCTATTTCTTACAATAGTTCTACAGACACACTGTAATTGACATTGCTTTATAATTCAAGAGTCAACGCTGAATCAGGAATGAAAGTTCGAATTTAGATTCTGTATATTATTAACTTATTATGATTGGTGTTGTTTACGCGCTCATTTCAACTTCACTTAAGGATAAAAAAAAATCGAATGAACGCAAAAAATAGTGGTACACATCCAAAAAATATATAAACGAATATTTTTAATGATGATAAAACTATTTATTATATTATCATTTATAAAAATTATAATGGTATCATTTGGGTATTAATACATATAAGTACGTACATATTATTCAATTTATAAAAAAATTCATTGTAAATATTTGTTTGATAATAAAAGACTCCGTTTAGTAAAGGCAATAAAATATCTGACAAGTAATGTCATGAAAATTGTATTTAAGACTTCAAAACTTTCCTGCTCATAATTATTTGTACTAGTGTCATAAAACATCTGGAAAACTCTAGCGGAACGTGCTCATACTCCCAGTGCAGTAGAACCTAATGGGTTTACTGCAGGGAGAACCCCAAAGTAGATTCAGAACGAATATCAGATATGCGTGAAGCATTGA